AGGATTATTTTAGAAATCGATATGAGATTCAAAGTGTAAAAATGTCTAGTACTTTGAATGTTTTAGAAAATTATTCTAGATAAAGATGTATGGAATTACTGAAAATTAATTTTGATTCCTTTTCCTTATTCTGTAAATTCTTTGATTAGAATATGAATGCTGCTGGAAGTATGAACATTTATTTTCACAGGACAATGATATAAATGGAACTTTAACACTTTTTTAAGTGTTAGAGTGATATTTCGTTGGCCTCCGTATTAGCGCACTGCGCCGAACGTAGATAGCATGATATTGTAGTCGCAAAGGAGCAATTGCATCGAATAGACGTATTGTACCGTAGCGCATCGTATTGTATTTCAAACTTTTATATCATTATAATTTATATGTATATATGAATATTCCAATAAACATACGTCAGGTAATATAAGCTTCATTTCATCGAATTGTCTTAAATATAACTGCATAAAGATTGTAGAGTCCTATACTAATTATAGTTACCTGGTTCAACAGGCTACTACAGAAACTAACTACTGCCTACGTCTTTTAAACGTGAGCAGTAGTAGTATCTGCAGAAACTGCCATGGTTGCTAGGGTTACTATATAATTTGCTCATGGAAGCACGCACAAGTGTCAGTCAGATTTCGACAGTTGCACGAGCAACAACGATAAAGGATTACATTTCAAAACTCTTGCGCATGTCCGGGGATTCTATGACCCCACTTCCTCACCATACGGCTCCCTGGCGCCTCCACCGGGGGTTCTAGGACCCCTCGTGTCAACACACTGGGTCTCTGGCGCCACCTGTGGGGGTTCCATGACCCTACGATCTCAACACACGGGGTCTCGGGCGCCATCTCTGAGGGTTCTGTGACCCTACGATCTCACTACACGGGTCTTTGGCGCCATCTCTGGGGGTTCTATGACCCCACTTTCTCACCACACGTATCTCGTGCAAGCTCTGGGGGTTCTATGACCCCAGTTTCTCGCACACACGGGGGTAAAAATGTCTAGTACTTTGAATGTTTTAGAAAATTATTTGAGATAAAGATGTATGGAACTACTAGTGCGAAATCAAAACGGATAGAGTCCTACTATTATACCAGAATTAAACAGCTTGGTGCAGCACTTGTCCGGGAACAATCAATTCCCCCATAAAGTTACTGTACTTTATACACATCTCGCGGGCAATAGAATACAATGCACGATAGACAAAGCTATTCATTGGTTGCGTTTTATTTGAAGAATCGACAAACTGCGCAATAGAATGATTTGCCTTTATTTCGATCGAACCGAGCCGCATGTACAAACGTAGCGCCACAGGTCATTCCGTGCGCCGTTACGTGGTAGTTCGTAGTCTATCTTAGTAAAACGCGAGGTGCGTATCGTACTTGCAATGCTTGTGTAGATGTGCGCGTGTGTGCATGCGTGTCCAGTACTCGTGTCTCTTATTGCTACGAACCTCAAAAACCGTTCTCTACCGTTCTCACCGGAAGACTTTCGAACGGTTCACGAGGTGAACAAATTTTTAGGCACTGTCGGTGGACTATCGCGATAGAACAACGATGACCGATCACAGAGTATGTCTGGTACTTGTTCTGTCCGTCGGTCTGTCGACGCTATTAGGCCACGTAGCCGGCTCTAAGGTGCTGCAAATCCGTGGTATACCCACGACGAAAAGTTCGTTGTACTCGCCGGATCGGGATTTTCAGTGTCTCGACGGAAGCCTGTTGATACCGTTTACGCGGGTCAACGATGATTATTGCGACTGTGCTGACGGTAGCGACGAACCGGGTACGCCCGCCTGTACCAACGGCTCTTTTTATTGCGAGAACTTTGGGTACAAGGCTCGCTATATACCCTCCACCTGGGTGAACGATGGCATCTGTGACTGTTGCGACGCCAGCGATGAATACGGTTCAAGTAAGGAGTGTTCAAACAATTGCAACGAACTTGGCAAAGAAGCTAGGCTAGAGCAACAAAAAGCACAGGAGTTAATCAGAGAAGGGAACAAAATAAGGTCGGAGATGATTGCCAAGGGCAAGCAGTTGAAAAACGATTACCGAGCACGTCTAGTGAAGGTTAGAGCTGACTATGAGGAAGCGTTGCTAGTGAAGAAGGAAAAGGAACTGCTAAAGACTCAGGCAGAGGAACGAGAAACTGCTGCTTTAGAAAAGTATAAACCAACTGAACTTGAACAGCCTCCTGCAGAAGAAGGAGAAGAAGAAGAAGAATTACACGAGTCAGAAGTAGAGGATTACTTTAAACTATTGGACTCCGATGGAAGTGGCACTGTAACGATTATGGAACTGAAAACTAGAGTAACATTTGATAAGGATAGAGATGGAGTTGTAACAGAAGAAGAAGCCATGTATTTCTTGAATAACCAGAAGGAGGTCAATCTTCAAGAGTTCATAGATTCAGCTTGGGCAAATATTAAGCCGTTTTTAATGTTAGAAGAAGGTTGGTAAACAATGATGAACTTATGTTATTTTCATTCTGAGTTACATATTATAACCAAAATATTATTGTAGGTATGTTCAAGCTGAGTGATCGTAAAGATGAAGGAGAAGAAGAAGAAACTCAAGAACACATAGAAGAACCATTAGAACTTGAGAAAGAGGAAGATGATGGTAGCGAAGGAGAAGAGGCTGTAGCAGATGAACAAGAAAAGATTGAGGAATCTGCAGTTCAATACGACGAGGAAACTCAAGCCATTATTGACGAAGCTACGAGTGCTCGAGAAAATTTTCAATCAGCGGAAAGGTCTGTGAACGAATTGCTGTCGGAAATCAGGAAACTCGAAGAAATGTTGGAACGTGATTACGGCGTTGACGAGGAATTTGCGTCTCTAGATGCAGAGTGTTACGAATACACAGATTTGGAATATGTTTACACTCTCTGCATGTTTGCAAAAGTTTTACAGAAATCCAAGTCCGGTGGCAGCGATATCATTCTAGGTCATTGGAACGAGTGGGTTGAACCTGAGCACCAGAAGTATTCAAAGATGAAGTACGACAGAGGTCTGACCTGTTGGAACGGTCCAGCGCGTTCCACCGTGGTCAGTCTAAGTTGTGGCAAAGAAAATAGACTTCTTTCGGTAACCGAACCCATGCGTTGCGAATATGCGATGGAATTTTCCACACCAGCTTTGTGTAACCCTAGTGTGGAGATCGCCGACACACACGACGAATTATAAATCTGGTGTCACGATAAACCTGTGCGTGCAAACGCGAGATACACGATGCAAACGTGTATCTCCAAAGCGAACAACGTAAACATTGCAAGGATATATAACGGCTGCGTCAGTTGATTCAGTATGAGGCCTGTTTCTAACAGTCTGTTCGAGTGTTCTCACGAAAGTATTTCAATGCTTGTAACTGTAAAGCCTGGTTTTACCAGTCTATGAAAGCGTTGACACGAAAGTATTTCAATGTTTGTAACCAACGAGCTAAATGAGTTAAACTGAAGAAATGGTATTCTGTGGTTCATGCTACTCACAATTAGGTGGTGTATGATCTAAATGACAAGAATTCAAGAGTGCTGGGTGTGTTAACTTAAGATTTCTTTAAATAGGCCAGTATATGGCTGATAGTTTTATCATATAGCCATAACAGTATCTCAGATTCGCCAGTCTAACTTGTATAGTTTGTGATGGCAAGCGTTGGAATACTATCGTGTATTACGGCTGTACTTTTATGAACGATGAAATTGTTCGATTTCTAAGAGAATGTATGACCGTTAGTTTAACAAATTGCAACGGTTGTGTGATTAGCACAACGTGTTTTACCATCACCGATAAGCACAGATGATAAGCGTTGGTGTGAGCCTAGTCATCCATTACGCGTTATGTAATTGCAGAGTTCCGTTGTATCCGCGATTGGTTATTCGTCCTTGCACCTAGAAACTCCTTATCATGTTACTTGGGTAAAGGAACTGGCAGAATTCGCCAACGATAACGCTTAACACCTTGAGGTCCAGCGTGTCTTGCTCGAAACCTAGCGTTATACCTGATATGTACTACGAACAGAGGTTTGTGTGTACCATCCTCAAGATGTAAGTAATGTCACCCGGCGAAGTCGTACTCGTTTTCGAGCGGTAGAGAAGATTGTTAAGAATAGATTTACTATCCATGATACGTACACGAAATTGTTGTTACTTTCCTGCTCTTTTTGTATTGTGAAATTTTTGCCAAACGATTCAGGCGACCACGCTGTCTCCGCTGAATCAAGTAGACGCGAAGCCACGACCAGATCGCGTCGAAACAAGCATTTCTTTCGTGAAATTCCTAATTCGCCACTCTCGTGTGCATGTGTGTGATGTAGAGATGTATTTAAAAAAAAAGAAAAAACGAAAAGACAAAAACACTTGTATCGAATCATCAATAAGCCAAGGTATTTTGTAATTTTTTAAAGGAGCGTCGGTTGCACCGGCGCGCCGGGATGCGGGTTCAATAAAGACAAAGAAAAATTCTGTTGTCGAACTGTAATTCACGATGGCAGCTTTATTTACATTAATAACGGGCGATCTGCATCTGCTCTTTCTGTATTATGTGTAATATATATGTATTTATATATATATATATATATATATTTCTTTGAATTATGCGAGTTCATGTAACGTTACAACGATGGTTAATTCGTTTCTCTAATTATATTTCGTTAATCTAACGATCTACAACGGTTTCTTTTTGGAATCTGACACGTTTACAATCAACTATATAGACAGCTAAAAAAAAAAGAAGGAGGGGTAGTAGAAGAGAGGTGATGAACGTTACCGCGCAACCCATCCAAACGTGTTACGTCCACTTGCTTTCTCGGTACTTCGTTAAGGCACTTAAAAGACTGAAAAGAAGTGTCTTGTCTGTTACGGAGCATCTCGCGCAACAGAAACAAGCTTCAACGTCTTTTTTCACCCCACGACGATCCCGCTTTCTCCCTCGCGCAAACACAACAAAGAGGTACGGTTCGTTTGATTTCAATGTCGAATGTATCGTCTCGAGCATTCGTATTGAACATCAAATTCAAACTCGGTTTCGAGGCTTTCGCGGTCCCTATAATTTTATAATTTGATTCTAGGCACTCGGTGCCTTGAGAACCTCTTTTTTTAGGGGCTATATAAAAGTTTCTTTCATTCCATGAATTACTGCAAACGAATTAATGTTTTACAGAAATTGTTAGACATAGGGAAGAAATTCTTTTATTCCTTGTTACCGTTTGATATGCTTTTTCACATTACCGGCAGGTTTTACTGCCACTATATTTCGGAAGGAGAAAAAAAGGGAGCTTCCTTTATTTTTTAATGTTCTATTATCAGATCTCTTTTCAATTCTAACAGTGTGTACTTCAAAAAATTCTTGCTTGTATTTTTAAAAAGATTATTTTGGGTAGGATCTATGAGATAGAAATAGGGAGTGACTTTAGCATTGACAATTCATGAGTAGCTATGGACATCACCTGAAATATTCCAGTTTTCTTTACTAACATTTCTCCCACTGATTAATCAATTGTAATAACTAATTTTTCGATAATATCAAACATATAACAAGGTAAATATTTACCAGCACGCAAATTTAACTTTTCAAATATCCAACTAGATAAATTAAAAAGATATTTCAAATAAACGTTAATCATTCCGTTCACAAAAATAGGGGGACCTATTACTTCCGTTTTTAAGGGACCAATAGGATTATTCTGTCAGTGACATGTAAGAGCACAACAAAGAGTCACAAATCAAACAAAAATTTAAAAACTGAAAAAGGATGCCGAGTACCTAGGGCCTAGTAAAGGCGCTCTCAAAACCGTTCAATTCTTTGGATTGTAAACCGCACTCTTCGGCTCTGCAAAGGCACACGACTTACATCCATAGTCTAACAGTCAGAACCGTAACCGCGTTTCGGGTGCCGTATAACACCGTGAAACTGAACAAAAAACAGTTTACGCGTTTTCGAACACCAGAAGAAGGTCGAACGACCAACAAACATTTACAGAGTTTCTTTGCTGATTTCGCCCGTCGAAAGTTTAACACATAGAAAGTACCGAATGAAGAGACAGCATTTTCCAAAGATTGCCTCAATGCCTGTGAATACGAACGATATCGAACTGTGTTTTTCTTTTATATATCTGTCGCAACGTACCCTGTGTTCATTTCTTCATAGACACTTGTTCGTCTCGTTCGTAATCCTTACAACGACGGGGGTTTCTCTGTTACTTTAATTCACTTCGCATTATTTACACAACAGAACGATACACGACATATATCTGTGTCTCTAAACTACTGTACAACAAGATCCACGAAACGCTAGGCTACTACACAAGAAGAACGATTCGTGAGACGCTACACGGCCCTCACGAGCTCATAAGCACGATCTAATACTGGATCCGGAAACGACCCGGCAATCTCACCGAAGCACACGACTCTCTTTACAGAACAAAACGAAAATATCAGACGGAACGCGTTAAATAACAGTTCCTGGACAATTACAGCGACGCTTAATCGAAACGTTCGTTTCGAATTTCCTTCAAATGAAATAAAGATCACAAGCTCTATTCATTCTTATGCTTGTTTTACATCGTGAAACAAAGGAAATATTGTTAAAAAAAAAAAAAAATCCAGCAAATAATTCTACGTTATTGTCTCTTCAGATCGGTCGAACACTCTCGTTTCGTTCGCACGTCTTCCTGACTTGTTCTCAGACTCTGCAAATGAAATCTATACGAAAAGGTTAACAGGAAATAATACGTTGCGTTGCGTTGCGTCACGTCGTTTCGATCGATGTTTAAACGGGTGTGTCGATCTTCTCAAGCCATTTTCGTCTTTCTTTCAGCCCTTCTTCCCGATACGATCCGCCAAAACGTATCGACGGCTTATGTATTCGTTAAATGAACGTGGCGCCGTCAACTCATTTACCGAGTTTCTCAAACATGATCAGTTTCTCCTTGAAGCTCTTCGTGTCGGTGGATACCTCGGATATGTTTCCATTGAGCATATTCTGCAAGTCTTCGTCATTCTTGCTCACCAGAAGGTTGTCGAAGATCATCTTGTTGTCCTCCTGCTTCGCTACCGGGGAGGTGGGCTGTGAACCAGTGATCGGCTTCTTTTTCGGGTAGATCACAGAGCTTCGTTGGTTGTTGCCATTGTCGGCCATTCTGGTAACTATGGTGATAGCCAGTAGTTGATGGATATCGATGTTTTCCTTCGACTCTGTAGACTGCCGCCAGTAGAACTTGTCCGGCGAGATCAGGGACTTGGAGTCCTCGGTACCGTCCGCCACGGAGATCTGTTCCGAGTCTACTATGGTCTTGTTAGTCCAAGAATCCTATAGACAAACGAAAATCGTAATCTTAGAATAGTTTCGATTACATTAGATTGTCTGGACTACCTTATTATTAAATAAATATGATTATTTTATTCTATTTAGTTTATCCTTAACTTATTCGACCTCATTTTTTAACTTACACAATAAATGTATGCGTATCACTATTACCTCAAATGTTTCTTACAAACTGCTAGACCAGAGGAAGTATTTCTTCTAAACAAATGCTAAATCTAGTCAAGTGTTTCCTACTCTATCTGCCAGTACGTTAATTTAATAGCTTCGCTAGATAGTCTCACAACCAAAATGGCCGACACTTACAATATCATGAAATTGAAAGCCACTTACGTTCTTTTCGCGTTTATCCACAACAGCGTCCGCAGGTTCCTCCTGTTTCCTATCTTGGTCCAAGTCCCTCTCCAAACTGTCAATAGTCTCGGTACTCTCCGAAAACTTGTTTCTTCTCTCCGAATCCAGGGTGTCCGTGCTACCAAGTTCCGAGCTCTCCGATGATTTCTGAATCCTAGACGGCTTCCTGATCGGTACCGGCCTCTTCTCTTCCTCCTGCTCATCCGCCGGAACAATGTCCACGTAACTGGTGCTCGGTATTCTCTTCGGTGTCCTCCTGACCCTTCTGTTCTCCAGCCGATCGTCGGTCTCCAGGTTATCGGAACTCTCGGATGACATCCTCTTCGAGGACCTTCTGCAGACCTTTCCGAAATCGTCCCTAATGTTGTTCCCCTCCTCGTCTTTGATCTCGTTGACCTCGATCATCTCGAAACTCTCCGACGACTTGGAGATGCCCTTCGACAATCTTCTGGCCCTGGCTAAATTGATGTCCGAGACGCTGCTCCTCTTCTGCAGTTCCTGAACGGTGTCCGGCCCAGTTTGTGCTTGCTCCAGCACGTCGAAACTCTCCGACGATTTCGATATGTTCTTGGATGATCTGCGTCCACGGAACTCAAAGCTGCTCCTCCTACGTTCGATGGACTCGTCGCTGGTAAGCGTCTCGATAGCCTCGAGGCTGTCCGAGGACTTTGATACCCGATCGGTGGACTTCGAGATCGGGTCCAGCAACCTTCGGACCACTGGCTTTGACTCCTCGTACTCCATCAGCATGTCGAAACCTTCGGTCGACTTGGAGAACCAACAGGAGGACGTTTCCAGGCTGTCTGGAGATTTCGACAGCCGATTCGACGATCTCCTGCGTGGGAGCTTAGACTCTAGCTCCTCGAAGATCTCTGTGCCCTTCTGTATCCGGTTCGAGGGTTTTCTGGCGACAGGTCGAGGAACTTCCGGTTGGTCTTCGTTCGTTTCCACGCTAGTTCTCGAAGCGCTGATCGCGTCCAGACTGTCTGGAGACAGGGAGGCGATGCTTGGTGGTTTTTTGGGTAGTTTCGACTCTAATTCCTCGAAGATGTCCGACGTGCGGGATAATCGACTCGAGGATTTTCGTGTGACAGATATGTTCTTGGGCTCGGTGGGAGAAGAGGCATTACTGGTTACGCTGGATAGCTGCGCGTCCAAACTGTCCAGCGAATCCTCTGCGATGGTCGTAATCGTTGACGTGGACGTGTTCGCTGTCTGGGAAACTGTGCGCCTCGGGGGCCTTCGGTTTTTCGGTCGTACAGAAATTCGATGATGAGCCGCTGTGTGATTCAAGCTCGCGCTTTCTAGTTGCGCTGTGGAACAACGGAAAGTATAGGTTAGGGTATCATTAGGCAGGCCATCGTATGTGCAGAATGGTTCACGAAACTGCGATTTGATTTACATGTTTTTTTTTCTGATTGCCATTACAGGGCACGATAGAAGAAACAATTGAAAAAAGCCATTATTTTTTATATATTGCCTAATATTGCAAGTGGAAATAGGGAATATTGGCCAGGCGCAGTGCCATTCGACAGGAACGATACTTACGCAAGTCTTCTTTGGCCACGGGAATAACTCGATCAACCGAGTCCTTTGACGATCTTGAATTCTACAAAAAAAAAATGAAACTTTTAATCGACTTCGATCATTTGTACGCGATTCCGCTTATGAATCGGCGTGTCGCATCGTTCAGTTGCCAACGACTAGTTACGATTTCGGAGGAAAAAACGACGACGACCATTATTGGACGAATGATTCGTGATACTGGTTGCCGGGCTCGGAGTGTCGCGGTACCGCGTGGAAAGCACCGAGCCGGGGCCATAACGGTATTAACCGCGATCGGGTCGACGCGGACTCGGCCAGTTAACCGCGATCGCCTCGGAACCGGTTGCAGGTGCCGCCTCGAAAAACACTTCTTCGGCTGAAAGAGGTTTCGTTTGTGCTACCGTATTACCCGTGACCTGCAACCGGTCCTTATTATCGCCACATCGCGCGTAATTGCGCAGCGAACAGCTCCAATTCCAGCCGCCGAAACCTGTCCAGAGAATTATCTGACTGCTGCATGCGAATTATAACCTGCAGATTAACTGATAAACTTCACTTTCAATTATTTATAGCAGAAACGCGACTTGGCCCGATTGCGACGCTGTAGAACGATTGAACGAGCGATCAAGATCGAGTCTTACGGGGACTTTCCCATTCAAAATTGAAAAAAAGGACACTTTTTTTAATATTTCTTTATAAAAAAACTATTATATCTAGAAACATAATTCCCTTTGGACGCTATTATATGTATTATTAAGAATATAAAGAAATTTTTTCTAGCACTTTTAGTTCACCACGACCGCTGTAGAGGGCGTCTTCCAAAAAGCCACGTTTTAATCGGTGCGACACTTTGCAGACGTCCTGTAAAAAATTAAGTAAAAACTCAAACGGGATTCTATTCGTGAGACTTAAAACTAGACAATAAACCTCTAAAAGTTCATAAAACTACCCTTTTTTATACAGGGGTGAATTGCCCCCAAAAAAGAGTGACTTTTCGAATTTTTCGGAAAAATACGTATAAAACGATAAAAAAATACAAAAAATAAAATGTTTTAGAGGTTTATTGTCTAGTTTTAAGTCTCACGAATAGAATCCCGTTTGAATTTTTACTTAATTTTTTACAGGACGTCTGCAAAGTGTCGCACCAATTAAAACGTGGCTTTTTGGAAGACGCCCTCTACAGAGGTCGTGGTGAACTAAAAGTGCTAGAAAAAATTTCTTTATGTTCTTAATAATATATATAATAACGTCCAAAAGGAATTATGTTTCTAAATATAATAGTTTTTTTTATAAAGAAATATTAAAAAAGTGTCTTTTTTTTTTCAATTTTGAATGGGAAAGTCCCCTTAATGTCACTGAACCGAGAGAGGCAACAACAAGCTCTGTACGGAAATAAAATTGCTCGAAACAATGGCTAGTATCGGATGTTCTCCTGAACTCGATCCAGTACTGCATAATCATTATTCTTAAACCTTTTGGCTCGAAATTTAAGAACTCGCATTGACGTAAATATGGACGATAATAGACCGAACGTTACACTATTTCAACGTTGTATTAAAAAAAAATTATTGATCCAAAAATACATATAATATGTATGCAGACAGAAACTCCAACGTTACGGAGGTCGATTAAAATTTACAGTTTTCCTACTAGTAAGACTTCTTACACTTACTTAATTATCGGCATTATATCCTCGAGAGGCTAAAACGAGGTAACATATACCGCCATGTGCCTTACGACATGCATAAGACCCGATTGCTTGTCAAGGATCTATTTCACGATTACGCTTTATTCTTTCAATCGACTATACCTCTTTCGCCTACTATACGTCGCGGCGTCGTTCACCAATGTCTACAATGATTCTCTTAATGTTTACGCGTACGTATCCCCAGCACCGTAATAAGACGAAATAACATTCGATTCGTCGATCGATCGATTACCTCGATCGTTTCCTCGATCGGCGAGCTTGCCTCCTTGATGATCGGGGGGATCCTCTGTCTCGCTTCTGGCTTCAAGCGTGGTCGATCCTCGATCCTACACGAAGGCCTAACGGATCCCATCGAGTCATCCTCCGCTCTATCCTATCATTTGACGGACATGGAAACCTATAGTGCTAGTCGGACAACTCGTCGCTCGTCTTTATTAAACGCATGTTTGCGTTTAGGATCAAAGCGAACGAGCGACTCTATTCGCGTCTCTATTACCGTCGAACTCGCGGGATCTGATCGATTACCTCGATCGTATCTTCGATACGCGCCGGTTGTTGCTGCTGCTGGTCTTTCCTAGTCTGAGGGACCGTCCGTCTGCATTCTGGCTTCGGTATGGGCCGATCCTCCATTTTCCACGGCGATCTTATCGATCCGAGCTCCCTGTTCACGACCTTGTCCTTCCGGCCGGATTCAACGTAACAATTTATTACGCAATCGTCAAGCTTAGTCGCGAATCCGTGAGCGTTCTTTAGCGAGTCGTGCTACGCGGGGGTTGCGTCAGAATCGGGGATTAGTGGCTCGCGTCTAATCGCATCGGATCAGGGAACGACGAGAATCCGGCTCATTTGTGTTGGACGAGTCTCGATACAGCGAATGCTAAAGGTTCTTAGGGATTGGTTTCACGAGAATCGAGTTGAAAAAGGTACTCGATGGCAATAAACCGATGAAAAGAAAATGGCGCCATTGCGTGGCCTTCGTGTGAGGAAACCTCAGTAACGTTACTCTATTAGACCTGAACACGGTACACGAGCGTTTTGCACATTTATGCACTGGTTGCGTTAATGAAACGTCGATATGGAACATCAGACACCACGCTACACGTGGTAAACAATACTGTGTGATCAAAACACAGTGAACAATGAGTTGCCGTTTCCTGTTCTTCTACGTTGACTCGACAAAACACTCGGATATTTCGGGTCATATTCCACTGTTACCAATCTACTTCTTCCATGCGCAACTATAATGATTTTTCCCTGAAGCGATCGTTCAGGACGATACATCACTACAGTTGACATTTTTCATACATTATAGTTAGCGATAGCCACCTGTGGTAATCGCACTCTTGCGTTTACTGTCTGATACAAATAACCCAGTATTTCACCGGTGTTACTATAACGGTCGGTAATAATAACGACTGTAGTAATAATAATAATAATAATAATAAGAATAATGAGATATGCTCGTAGAAGGAGGCGCATGCATACTCGTGGCTCGGATTACTGTACCACAGAATAATATTTCTTTCTCTCAGAAAGTACAACAAGGCAGAGAACTCAGTCAGAAGACAGCTCACGGATTAGCGAATCGAGCTAACGCGAAGAATGACAAATCGATTATAAACGTTTTGAAATTGATTGCGTATAACTCGAGGGTATCTTCGATCGATTACCTCGATCGCATCGTCTTCAGTTTCTTTCTTAACCGTGATCGTCTGTACGGTTTCCGGCTTCGATCTCGATCGACCCTCGAACACTCGTCTGATCGGTCCCGGAATCTCGTACTCAACCTTCTCCTTGCACCCGTACACACCGATGCTAATCTTCGTCGTGGTCTGTACGCTCGGGAAGCTCTTGCATCGCGCGGTGTCCTGCTTGGTCCGATCGATCAATCGTCTCCTCTCGACCGGGTTCAGGTTCAGCTGCTCGATGATCGCCCGTATGTTCGACGAGATGCTGTTCTCGCGACGCGACACCACCATGATGACGGAGATCCTCGGACTTCGGTATCGCGATTACACTGAACACCGAGGATCGATCGATCTCCCTTTGGCGCGGGTCTTTCGAAAGAGCCGCGGGATCAACGTCATAGGGCAGGAAGGACTCGAGTTGGTCACGAGGCCTCTGCAACTGTTTCACGGGGAATTGAAAGTTTTGCATTCTAAGCTCTCGAGCTGGTAACTTTTCACAGGGTTGCAAGAAACTTGATGAAGATTATCGTACGGATTTTAAAATGGGGAGGTCCCTGACCACCGGTTCGGTCTTTTTAGGCTTATGAACCGATGTTAGAGTGATAATGTACAGGTAAATGTTAGTGTCATTCATTTAGATGTGTAAGAAATAGGAACAGTATTATTTATTATGATTCCTTAAGAAAGAGCTATGTAAAATTACCGAAATTTTAAATAAAATTAATAAATTATCTTAAAGAAATCGATGCATTTAGATCTAACACCTTTAGGATTGGACGTGGATACAATGATCCACTCAATGGCATATCCAACGTGAGATATATCTATTGATATTTGAAGTGAAGTATCTACTGTCACGTCAAGATCTATTAACACCGTGAAGGAGGAAACTTATGAATATTATAGGGACGAACCATTACACGTATTGTAAAGATACAAAAAATGACATTTCATTTCTGCATTTCTCTGTTTCTAATCAACAAGCTAGTATCATTTGGTATGTTTCTGGTCAAGGTCTATCGCATGACATCGTATGCAAATAGGCAGCTAGTGCATTAAAATACAACGAAACTTTCGCTAAACTCTAATTACCTCACCGAAACAACGGAATATGAAAAGAAAATAACGCAACAATAAACACCTAAACACTTATGCACCACCAGCTAACGATTACATGCGAAAGAACAGCTTAGAATTTTTTTACTATTTCTTAACATTTCTGCAAAATGCTGGCAAGCAGTGAAACGACTACACGGAGTCCACCAATTTCCATGCATCATTGTTCTTGCTATCGTGTCGTGCGAAGAAGACACTGGTAGAAAGTTCAAACTGAAAGACGTCGTAGTCTTTTTGTCTTCCAATTTATCGCCGCCGCGCTCCCGCCAAGACACTTTCCAATGTTAAACGCATATTACTCGGTCGGACGATTAGCAAGAAGGAGTGTTCACCGAGGCTCGGTGGCAAAACAATCGGTGCTTCTAATTGCGTTAGCGAATCTCGGTCGCGCGCCTACCTAGTTTTCGCAGTTAAGGGATCATGCTCGGTCAGAAATTTTCAAAAAATTGATTTTTCACTTTCTACATTTTCTTTAACTACGACATCTCGAGAATATTCTGTCCAAGTTTCAAGGTAATCCAATTAAAAATTAGTTACAGGCGTTAAAAAATG